CTAGCTTTGTGGGTGGAGGGGTGAGTTCAGTTTGGAACATGTGCAGGTAGAGGTACCTATGGGACATTCGGACAATAACAAAGTAGAGAAATGTAGTATGTATTAGTGGAGAAATTGGTGCTACACATGAGTGTCTGGGGAGGATCCATGATGAGATAGTGACTGAAGCCATCCCAAGCAGATAAGGTGGAATTCTGAAAAGCAGCAGCATCCATGACTTACATGGAGGAAGATTCCACAGGTAGAACCAAGAAGACATATGCAAAGGATCAGGCCACCTGGAAGTCCCACATGCAAGAATCAAGGAATATCAAAGAGACAAGCACAGTTACACAACAGTAACAGCGAGGATCCATGAAATTAGGAACATACCCATCCTGTTTAAAAATGAACAGGAGCAGATTTGGTGTTAAAAAATGAGAGTGCAGGGCTCACAAGGGTCTGAGAAGGAGAAAATGGCAGCTGGAAGGCAAGAAAGGTTTGTTTTTGAAATGGCATCCAAGCAGGTCTACCAGTGGAAGCTGAAGCTAAAGACAAGGAAAGGGATAGTTGATTCCTTCGATTTCATAAATATTTACTGTCCTGTGATTACATGCAAAGGAGCATGAAGGATGCTATAGACACCCGGAGAGAGGATCCATGGTCTCTAACAGAGGTGAAGCTTCTGCTTCATGGCTGGCAGGTGTCTGAGTTGGGAAGGGACAGTCTAGAATCCAGCAGAGGAGCCTGTCGTTTGCAGAAGGAATACTGGAAGAGACATATAGGTGGAAGGACGATACATTTCACACATAAGTGGTGCAGCTTATGCGGAGAAGGTGGGTGTAGAACCAGACTGTGCAATACAGCTTACAAGGAGAAAAAGAGGTTTGCAGTCATTCTTGGGAGGTCAAACGGGGGTCCCCTGGGGAAAGAAGAAAAGCAGCACAAGTGCCATGCATCACCAGGGTTCCTTCACAGTTTTCTTTGCGGGCTGGACAGCGACCAGAGCCCCCCTGATGATGTAACCTCAACAATGACACGCTGAGGTTGGAATCTGCTCTTGGTTCTGGGAACACACACATATTAAATTATGGGACTCTGCAATCCCATAGCAGTGGCTAACAGGGAAAGAATGTTGTTTATCGGAGGGACCAAAGGAGTGTAAACAGGCAGACTTATTTTACACCCTGCAAGAAACTTGCACCATCAGTAGGAAAATAAAGGTCTTGGATGAAGCAGAGTCTAAAGGATGTGGGTTCTAGGGAGGAATACACACAATAGCAGAAAAGGCTAAGGTGAGAGAAGTGAAAAAGAAGAGGATTATGTGGTTTCCTTTAGAGTAGGACTCAGAAAGGGAAGAAATCCATCACCTGCTTCTAATGTTTTCTGAAGAATACTTTCCCTGCTAAGTAATGGAGAGTTAACTTAAGAAAGACCAGAAACAGGAATATAAATTAGGAGACGATCTCAAATTTAGTAGAAAAGGACAGCGTGGTCTCAACAAGGGAGAGAACTGGACAGATCCCAGATTTAAACCTAGAGACAAAGAGTTTCCTGCAGAATTGGATTTCTAGAGAGAAAGAAAAGAGAAGAATGAAGAATAAATTCTGGACCTGTGTCCTGAGCAGTTTTCAGGCAGAGGCCAAGATATATGATCTGGTGGGAAATGTGCATATATAAACATGTGTGTGTCTGTGTGTGTGTGCAAGCACACTCATCTCTATGTACAGTCAAGCCCCCTAGTTGTGCAGTCCATGTCTGTGAATTCACCCAACGTGGGTCAAACACAGTGGGGAGAATTCAGGAATGGTGCTGCATGCCTGTAATCCCAGCCGCTCTGACAAAGGGCTGCAAGTTCAAGGCCAGCCTGTACAAGTCAGTGAGACGTTGTCCTCAAATAAAAACTAAGAAAGAGCTGAGGATGTGGTTCCGGGGTAGCACCGGCCTGGGTTTGAGCCCCAGGACTTAAAAAAAAGAAAAGATAGGACAAAAGTATGTGTACTGAAAATGCATAGACTTCTCATCCTTTTCCGCTAAACAAATGATGTAAAACTATTCACTTAGCAGTGACACAATTAGGCACTTATTTAAAATAAATTGGGAGGATATGCATAGGATATATGCAAATACTATGCCATTTTATATAAGGGCCTGGTGCATCCAAAGATTTTGGTATATGTAACGTGTTGGGGCCAGAGAGAATCTTGCATGGATATTTGTGTGCATATCTATTTGTGTGCATATCTGTGTGTGTGTGTGTGTGTGTGTGTGTGTGTCTATACACTCAGATAGGCACATGCTGGTTACAGAAAACTACCAGACATATATACAATGCAATGCACATGCAGTGCATGTATCCAGCATATATTCTACAGTATGTTCTGTAAGTGGGCTCTAGGGAGGAATAATGGAATAATTATATATGCATAGACTTCCCAACATCAGACACAGTTATGTCACAATTCATAGATATGGAATTTCAAGGTGATGAATGGGAAGATAACCATATTGAAAAATGAGACTGCTAAACACATAGAGTTCCACAAAGTGCTTTAGGTAAAAGTTATATTGCACCTCGACTCATACATGAAAATTGACCATTTCAAACTGGTTTCATCTTTCAAGAGACAAGTTCTTGAACAGGGAGGATGCTGTGTCTCTGATACTTCTTGAAATCATCATTTCAAACAAACCAGCTCATTTGGCTCCTACCTGGTCCCCAGGTAGTAGAGGATAATTACGAGCAATCCCTAAGTCTACCTCCAAATAGCGGACACTGCTTTTGCCGAAATCAAACAAACTTTTCATATGTTCTTATCCTCTTCACAGCAAGGCCCACTGCCATGGGGAAAGGCAGATGGACAGCAGGGTTCCGGTATGTAATGAAGCCACATCCCCAGGGTGCCTGAGACAAGGGTCCCTGTCCTCTCTCCTCTCTCTCTCTCTCTCTCTGTCTCCTGTCTTTCTCTCTCCCCTCTCATTTTGTCTCTCTCTCTCCCTCTCTCTCCCCTGTCTCATTTTGTCTCTCTGTCTTTCTCTCCTCTCTCTGTGTCTGTCTCTCTCTCCTCTCTCTGTCTCTCTCTCTCCCTCTCTCTGTGTCTTTGTCTCTCTCTCCTCTCTCTCTCTCCTCTCCCTCTCTCTCTCTCTCCCTCTGTCTCTCTCTGTGTAGGTCTGTCTCTCTCTCTCTGTCTCTCTCTGTCTCTGTCTCTCTCTCCTCTCCTCTCCCTCTGTCTCTATCCCTCTGTCTCTTTCTCTGTGGCTCTGTCTCTGTCTCTCCTCTTCCTCTGTCTCTCTCCCTCTGTCTCTCTCTGTGTGGCTCTCTCTCTCTCCCTCTCTCCCTCTGTCTTTCTCTGTCTGTCTGTCTGTCTCTCTCTCTGTCTCTCTCTGTGTCTCTGTCTCTGTCTCTCTCTCTCTCTCTGTCTCTCTGTCTCTCTGTCTCTCCCCGCCCCTGCCCCAGCTCTCTGGAACCTCACCAAGTCCCTCTGTGAAGCAGTTCCAGTGAGTCTCCACTTGGAGTAAAGCTGCATAGGACAATATGCTGTTTTCCATCTAAGCCCCGCCTGTCACGTAACTCTCCTCTTGTTTTCCTCAGTTCATGGTAAACATATTAGTTAAGAAAAACAAAATGGAAACAAGGAAAACCAATGTGGGCATAATTTACCAGCTACTCAGTGGAGTATTTAGGTAGCTCTCCAAGCAATGATTGTGACCACTGTGGAATTCCAAAGAAAACAGGCCAGCCACATTTTCAGGAGGGAAAACAACAGCTTATAACAGCTTAACTGTATGTATGCTCCTCAAAACAAGGACATGTGGGAACAAGAAGTGGGAATCATGTAAATGTAAAAACGGAGGACTTACTAGAATAAGGCATGATAACTCTCCTTCTGCTCCCCACCCTGGGATCAAACCCACACTTGCTGTGTAAGTGCTCTCCTGCTGACCATGACCTAAGTTTCCCTCTGATACCAAAATGTCACACCAATAAACATCAAAAAACAAATATTCAAAGGAAAAATTATTTTGTATAGTGTGGTTCAAAGGATATCCCACCTGAAGTTGCTTAGTACCACCAATGTATTCTGAAAAACACATCTCTAGGTGTTTTGGTCACTGTATGCACACCATCCTGATGGAGACCACTACAAATGGCTCTGAGCAGGATTTCGTATTAACCAATTGGCTTTCCATGTTCACTTGTGAGTTGCCCAAAGTTTAGGCACCTTGTCTGAGGATGGGCAGTGGACTCATAATAAATAAACCTCTGTGAGCCACTGGTCACTGCTGGGGCCTGTACTGGCCTGTGAAGCTGTGACACCTCAAAGGACAAGATAAGGCCACAGCTGAGGACATCTGGCTCCAACCCCAGTTAATTTAAAGGAGACTGTAGCTGCAGGCATCTCACTCCTGCAGTGAAGGCCTTCGTGGAGATAACATAGTTCTCCTAAATTAACACAATGTATTACTTGGAGAAGTCCTTACAGGGTTTCCCAAGTCCTGTTCAGATTGCCACATTTTCTTTGAGTACCCTCCTCCTTTGTTTGAAAACCAAATAAATACAGGCTGCCCAGAGAAGTCTTTGCCTAAACTCAGAGAATATCGAAGCTGTAAGACAGTGAGACCCTCCTGGAAACCTGAAATCATTTCAATTGTCTCATTTATTTAAGCCTTCACCGTCTACTTGCTTTGGGGATTGCAGGCCTGATCAGCCCACAATAACTGAGGGTTATTTAACCCGATACCATCCAATGTGCTTGTGCAAACTGAGATGACTACAGTGTCATTAATATAATTCATCACATGGGACAAGTCTTCTACTGAAGGTCCCTCGGGTCTATGATCACACCATCCTGAACACTCCCCATCTTCTCTGAAGGTCACTGGGGGACCAAAACATTGTCAAGCAGGGCAAGAGTGTAGCCATGTGTGTGCTAGTGAGGTTAACCAAGCAATGATTTCAGACAAAACTCCCTCCCATGTCGCATGCCTTGCCTTCACAACGAACTTGCCCAGGCACTTACTGTTGTTGCCAGTGCGTGTGGACGTGAAGTGCAGTGATACTTTGGCACTCTTGAGGCGGGTCTGTCCCCAGTAGGCGATGGCCTGTAGTTCTACTGTGTAGTCGCAGTCTGGCTGAAGTCGATCCAGGGTCACAGAGTTCTGAAGCTGGAAATGAGGAGATGTACTCAGACCCCATGACAATGCTTCCGTGTGCCTATTACCTGCCTTGTCATCTCCTACGTGACCATAAAGCTCACTGACTTCTAGGTCAGGAATGAATTTAATGTATGAAGACCAGATAGTTTTGACATCTGCATGATCTACAGGTCCCTTTCAACTAATACCCCCTTATGACTGCATGGTTCCCCATTATTACTGCACAAAGATACATTATGCCCTCACCTTACCCCATTATGTACTTGTAATGCGTGTCTTATTATGACCTGGTGATAATCCATTATGACGACTACATGCCTGCTATGACCTCCTTATACCCAATTATTACCTCACAACACCCCATAGTGGGCTCATTAATACTCCCTTATCGCCATATAATATTATATCATGACTTCATACTATCACATTATGACCTGAAAATGATAATTAGGACCACATAATACTGCATTATACCCTCATAATGCCACATGATGACTTCATACAATCACATGATGATCTAAAAGTACCAATTATGGCTATATAAGACCCTGCAAGTCCAGGATGTCCTTATGATACACACTTATGCCATCATGATAATTCACAGTGACCTCACACATAATATCCAAATGTGACCTATTCTTATCCCATTATGACCTCATTATACCCATTTATGACCTCATCATACTCCTTTAGCACTTTGTCATACCCCACTATGCTCTGATAATACCCCATTATGACATCAGAATGGTCCATTATAACACCACAGTGCCATTTGTGACATCATAATGGCCTGTTGTGACCTCACAATGCAGCACAATGGCATCACCATGTCCCACTGTGACCTCATACTGCCCAATTGTGGCATCGCAAAACCTTACTTTGAGATCACAATCCTGCACTGTGACTTCACAATGCCCCCATTGTAATCTCACATTGCAGCCATAATGACATCACAATCCCAGTGGGACCTCACAGTACCCTGTTGTGACAGCTCAGTGCCCTGGTGTTAGATCACAAAGCCCCCGTGGCATCACAATGACACATTATGATATCACAATATCCCACTGTAACATCACACTATCTACTGTGACACATTATGACATCACAATTTTCCTTCATGGTATCACAATTGCCCATGGTAACATCACAGGGGCCCATTATGACATCGCAGTGCCCCAATTATAACATCACCAGGCCCTGTTATGACATCACAAGCTCTGTTGTGATGCCATGATGCCATTTGTGATCTCACCATGCCCAGTTGGAACACAATTCCCCAGTATGACCTCACAGTTCCCTCTCTGTGACCTCACATTGCCATCATTATAGCACCACAATCAACCTTTATGACATCTCACAATGACCCAGTTATGACTTTGCAATGACCCACTATGAAAAGTAAGCAGTCCATTATGACATCTCAGGGCCATTTTGTGAGCCCCACAATGCCCCAAGGACATATTATGAAAACACAAAGCACTATGCTCCATGGTGACATTGTGACAGCACCATGCTCCATTATGGTGACAGCACCATGCTCCATTATGAGCTCATGATGCCCTACTATGACCTCATAATGCTCTAGTGTAACATCACAATGATTTCTGGTGACACCACAATGACCCTATTATGGCCACACCATGCCCCCCATTATGGCATCACAATCAACTTTTATGATGTCACAATGGACCATTGAGACACCACAAAAACAGCATGACATCACCATGGCACATTATTACATCACAATGTTTTATACTGATGTTATAATGTGAAACTGTGATCTCACAATGCACAATGTAAGCAGCGCAATTCCCCATTATGACCTCATAAATCCTGCATTATGACCTCACATGACCATACTTTAATCACAACAACCTTCATAATATCATGATGGCGCATTATGACATCACAGTAGCACATTATGGCATCACAATACCCCATTGCAACATCATAATGCCCTATTGTAACCTCACATGCCCTATTGTGGCATCATAACATCAAACTTCCCCATCATGACCTCGCACTTCCCCATTACGACATCACAGTATTCTTTTTTTTTGTTTTTGCTTTTTTGTGAATTGAACTCACAACGTTGCGCTTGCCAGGTAGGTGCTGTGCCACTGAGCTAAATCCCAAGCCCCCTACAATATTCTTTTATGAGGTCAAAGTACCCCAATTATAACATCAGGATGCCCTATTATGACTATTATGACCTCACGATGCCCAGTTGGAACAGCACAATGCCCCATTATGACCTCACAATTTCTCCATTATGACTTCATATTGCTAAATTATAGCACCACAATCAACCTTTATGACAACACAGTGGCACATTATGACATCACAATACCACATGATAGCATCACAATATTCCATTGTGACAGTACAATGCCCTATTGTGACCTCACATGCCCTAGGTGACATGCTGACACTCCATCATGACATCACAATTCCCCATTAGGACTTCACCATTTTGCCTTATGATATCACCATCATCCATCATGGCATCACATGGACACATTAGGACATGACAGTGCCCCAATTATAACATCACGATGCCAGAAATACTGGCATAGCAGATAGCAGAATACTGAATTGTGATGTCATAATGACAGGTTGTGACCTCACTAAACCCAGTTGGAACAGCACAATTCTCCTTTATGACCTCAAAATTCCTCCATTATGACCTCATATTGCTAAACTATAGCACCACAATCAACTTTTATGATATCACAGTGGCATATTATGATGTCACAGTACCACACATGACCACATCACAATATCCCATAGTGACATTATAATGCCCTATTGTGACCTCACATGCCCTGGTGACATGATGACACCCCATCATGACATCACAATTCCCCATTAGGACCTTACCACTCCGCATTATGACATCACTATTTTCCTTTATAACATTGTTGGGAGCAGCTGAAGGGGAAATTCATCAAATATGTGAGGGCAGGACAAAGCCAGAGTGCCTAAAGCAGCTAGCTCAGTCATGAGAAAAGGAGCCTGCCTAGACAATTTCAGTAGTTCGTCAGTAGGAAACATTGTTTCTCATGATATAACCCTGAAAAAGTACAAATAAATGCCTCTACCTTTGTTCTTCAGTTCTCCTGCCCATCTGCTAAGAGCCCTCCAGCTGACCTCAGCTCTCGTCTCCTAACTTTATTATCTAAATCCTTTCCCCATTTTATCCCAGGGACCACTGAGAAACAATGACTCACAACATTTGGGATCTGAATCAGAGACTCTGGAGGAGAAGCAGAAGGCAGGAGGATGCTTCTCACATTTTTGTGCAATAGGATGAAGAAGCACATTGGTCAGACAATAGCACAGGAGGGTTATATTGACACATCAGGGGTAAAGAATGGGGCATGGAGGTCTGCTCATCTTAAAAATATATACAGAGAGAGAGGGAGGGAGAGAGATAGGTTTAAGAGAAGCTGAAGAGATACACATTTAAGAGAAGCCAAAAAGGAAAAAGGTATATTAATTTACTAATAGTTAAAAATCGCTGAAGTAGCAGGGTGTGGTGGTGCATGCCTGTAATACCAGCACTCAGGACTGAGGCAGGAGGTTCATTGTGAATTTGAAGCCAGCCTGGGCTACAAAGTAAGCTCAAGGCCAGCCTGTACTGCATGGTGAGACCTACTCTCAAGAAGACTAAATAAATAAATTAATTAATAAATAAATAAGGCGAGCAAGTCTCAGGGACCACAGATGTTTGTAAATTTTTATTTTAAAGAAAATAATACCAAAAAAAAAGAACAATAGCAAAATACAAACAAAACAACACAATTACATTAAAAATGATACGAGGTATGCGCATCCACGTTTATAGCAGTGCAATTTGTCACAGCTAAATCTTGGAAACAACCCAAATGCACATCAGCTGAGGAATGGATAAAAGAGATGTGGTATTTCTATATACTGCAGTATTACTCAGCTATAAAAAAAGGTAAACTTGAGGCTTTTATAGGTAAATGCATGCATCCAGAGACCATACTCATAAGTGAAATAAATCAGATCCACAGATGTTTATAGATGTACAGAGGCATACATAAAAATGTTTATTGTTTTCTTGGTTCCTGTATTTACCTTACTTTTCAAGACCACCATAAGGACTTAGCAAGGAGCACTATTTTAAAATCAGTTCCCAAATGAGAAAAGGAGGGTGAAACAAAGGTAGCACTGATAGAACTTAAACTCACTAAATCAGAAGAAAAACAAAAAAAATCTTTTAAATTGCATGCAGTTAGTTGGGAGCAGTGCAGAGCCACTCAAGGGAGGGGCTCAGCACAGGTTCAGGGAGGGACCCCCCACTCGGTCTTCCCTCACTGTGACCTCACATTGCCACCATTATACCAACAGTCAATCCTTATGACATCACAGTGGCACATTATGACATCACACCACCACATTATGGTACCACAGTATCCCATTGTGACATTATAATGCCTTATTGTGACCTCACATGTCCTTTAGTGGCATCACAACACCCAATCATGACATCACAATTCCCCATTAGGACCTCACCATCCCCCATTATGACATCACAATATTTCTTTGACATCACAACTGCCCATGCTGTTGCACAGAGGACCACTATGACACCATGGTGCCCCAGTTAAGCATCACAATGCCCTATTATGACATCACAGTACTCTATTGTGACACCAAAATGACATGTTGTTACTTCACAATGCCTAGTTGGAACCTCACAATTCCCCATTATAAGCTCACAATTTCTCCTTTATGACTTCACATTGCCACCACTACTGCACCAAAATCAACCCTTATGACATCATGATAACAGATTATGATGTCACAGTACCACAATATCATATCACAATATCCCATGGTGACATTATAGTTCTCTATTATGACTGCCCTTGTCCTATTGTGCTATTGCAACACACCATAATGTCATCACAATTCCCTATTAGACCACCACCATTCCCCATTTTGATATCACAATTTTGTTTTGTGACATCACAGCTGCC